ATATACACCTTAATTTTTTTTTGACACTGCTCAATTTTGATGTTCTTTTAAGTAACTTGTGTGAAATACTCCATGTCTGAAGTGACCCAGCTGTCATCCAAACCGTTTGTTAGTGAATCTGGCCTTTGTACCACATGAGGTTGCTCTGGGCCTACTTAATCACTTCCTGGAGATGGGTGGGAGCAAATCAGTCTATCTTTGTTTTCCAGACTAATTCATGTTGCCTTAGGGCAACAGCTCTTCTAACAGAGAAAGTATTTGATGTAAAAGACAAAGAACAAAAATAAAAATAACCCACCATAAGCTTTTCCCTAAAACACTAATTGTGGGAATTGTAAAATTTCTCAGACCCACTTTGCTATTTATTACAAAAGATACTTCCTTGTTTAGAAAGAGGGTATGTATGTTCAAAAAAGAAGCTATTTCTAATGATCCTTAAAAGATGCTATTTAATAAATAGGCAATTTTTTTTTAACTTACATCTTTGTAGGGCTGGCACAGAATGAATGAGATGGAGTCTGCACATGAGGTAACCAGAGGTTATGGCACCTTCCTTAGCCATTATGTGCTGGGAGCCATTATGTGCTCCCCCTTAATAACTGTAAGGGGGAGGGGGGAGCTGATTTATAGGATTTGCCTATTTGTGTGGTGTAATGCTCCCAGCATAGCCAGTTTCAGGTTGCCAGTGTGATGACAGTGCCAGAAGGGGAAAGATGCTCAGTGGCACACCATGATGTAGTATTTCTACCATGCGTATACCGTAGATAATAATCTCCAGAGCACAGTAAAACGTAAAATAATTAGGGAATGATAAGTTTTCTGTATTTAGTACCTATGTTTTTAATATATATTTCATCATAGTTTATGTAACTTGATCTTTAATGGTGACTGTTTAACTGCTGGCTCCCTGTTAAACAGTTGACTCGCCTGCTCCCATGCATCACTGCTGTTAATCTTTAAGAGCTGCTTTTGAGTTTGCTCTTCCCTGAAATCAGAGATACTGATTAAGAAGCCCATCTCAGTGGTTCGTGCTGGCAGTCCCAGCTACTCAAGGCTGAGGAGGGAGGATCTTTGAACCCAGGAGCTCAAGGCCAGCCTAGGCAACATAGTGAGACCTCATCTCAAAAAAAAAAAAAAGAAAAGAAAAAGGGCCGGGCGCGATGGCTCACGCCTGTAATCCTAGCTCTCTGGGAGGCCAAGGCGGGCGGATTGTTTGAGCTCAGGAGTTCGAAAACCAGCCTGAGCAAGAGCGAGACCCCGTCTCTACTAAAAACTAGAAAGAAATTAATAGGACAACTAAAAAATATATATATAGAAGGAATTAGCCGGGCATGGTGGTGCATGCCTGTAGTCCCAGCTGCTCGGGAGGCTGAGGCAGAAGGATTGCTTGAGCCCAGTAGTTTGAGGTTGCTGTGAGCTGGGCTGACGCCACGGCACTCTAGCCTGGGCAACACAGTGAGACTCTTTGTCTCAAAAAAAAAAGAAAAAGAAAAAGGCTCAGGGGCACTGGTCTAGCCAAGCTCCAGATAATCCTTAGTCTTTAATTGGTTTTATTGATCTGGAGATTTAGTACAACTTGGGTAGACTAGAATCATTTTACAAGTTATCCAGAGCCCAGTCTGATTCATTAAGTCATGCTATAATTGATAATCCTAGTATCTATCTTTTCAGTGCATGGTGAAGCTTAAAAAGATATTTATGAGCTGATATCCATTGTATCACCTTCCTTCACATGTAGTTATTTTTTAAATATCACAAATAATATCTGTCCTAGTTTTAAGGGATTCTAGAAAGTTTTACAATCTCCTGGTAGATTTCACAATCGTCCAGGGCCAGATCAAATCACTGAAATGTCCCTTCTGAGGTTAGGCCAGGACCAAAGCACTCCATAACGAAGAATTGGGTATGACTTCCTCTGATATTTGCCACATCATTAGTCTGATGGGATTATAAAGTTCTTGGCCTATCTCAGAAAGATGCTATTATATTTAACATTATCAAACATGATTATCTTTAAGGGATTAGAAAAGGAAATAAGCACAGCTGGTAACCAAGAAGCAAACACCAACCTAATATATAATAATTCTTGAGCAGAAAAGTCTAAATCGTAAATGTAATACTGTTTTTTAAGAACATGATTGGATAAAATATCTAGAAAACATTTTTGTATCCATCATAAGAGCAGTTAAAATGTGAAAGGTGGTGGAATGATGTCTCAAAATTATGTATAAACTGCCTTTCAGGATATGCTCCCTGGACATTGTTTATATGCCAGGAAGAAAATGCACTGATGAAATGACCCACTGTGGTGAATTTATATATTATACTTATCCCAGTTTGGTTTTTTAAAAAAAATTATTTGTGAGAGATTGAGGTCAGACAATGTGGCTGTCTTCTTCCAAAGAACTCATTGTTGACTCTCAAGGTTATTGGTTTCTATTAACCAAGATTAGTAAACTACTACCCTGAGGGCCAAATCCAAGGCCTATTTTTTACTGTCTATTTATTTTTTTTAATGATGTAAAAATAACAGGAATATGGGACAGAGATTGCATGTAGCCTACAAAGCCTAAAATAGTTATCATCTGACCCTTTACAGAAAAAGTTTGTCAACCCTGAAAAGTCAAAAGCTGACAGCCTGTGGGCTAGATGTAAACTCCCAAGATTATTTTATTTTGCCCAAACTGTATTTTATTTTTAAATTAGTTGCCAACCTATTCAGACTATAAATGTCACATGCAAATTGGGATTTTCATCTTCTTTGGGAGATAATGATTTAACAACCCTAAGTCCTCATTTTACGTGGCTGTAAATCAGCTAGAGGAAGTAGGACTAGCTCGATAGATTATGAAGTAGTGAGTTCATTTGTTAGAGGAATGCCAGCATACGGCTTTCTTCTTTAAGTCACAGTTTTATTCCAAGTTGACAGATTGACTTGAGCTCGAACTTTAGTTTCAACTTTTCTAATTCTAGAAAAAAAAAGAAAAATCTTGGTGCTATTTTTTACTGAG